AGAACGTTTCACTTTTTTTTCCCCCCTCCCGAAGCATCCCATGTTTCGCTCGTTCATTTTCAGCCTACAAACTTCTCCTCGATCGACAAAACTCACACACGTGCCCGTTCACATTTCGAAAACAGTGATCCGCCGGTGTAAAAGGATTTAAGAACGTCTCGGCCGAGGGATTACGGTGCCGGGAAGACTTAGCTGTAGGAAATTTATACTAGTTATTATAGCGAGGAGTAGGGGTGGAACGACGACTTGGCTGACAAGTGAAATCGGACGCTATCTGTCCAGACGAATAGACCGGCACGGTATCTGATCAAACAAGTAGCTCCGGACGGTATCGTATCGGGCTAGTGAAACGAGACCGTGTTTAGTCAGCCAAGTAGAATGGAATAAGTTTACTCCAGCGTAATGTATTAAACAATTTGCGTTTCTCGACGCGGTCCTTCGACACAATGTGTTCGGCAATGCTGTACAATGATGAACAAAACACGTATGTGGATTTTTAAAATTAATAATATTAATAAATTTTAACATTAATAATATTTCATGTTTGCATGTAGAATACAAAAGAACAAAGTATGTACTGCTTTGTAGGATCTTTTGGCTTCCCATTGTTTTCGTGAAGTCCGTTTTGCAGCCATAATTAATTTAAATGAAAAACCGTCAATACTTTGAACTGTTATAAAAAAAGATCATTTAACAATCCACTTAGTTTTATTTTTGTAAGCTTCTGTTTTCACAATTCTGAATTTTTTCCCTTTTTCTTTTTCAACATCATATAGCAAATGGAAAAGTGTTTTTTTTTTCTTTACAAAATATTGTACAAATTCGTATATATATGAAACTGGAAAATTTTATTTATGACTAAATCCATCACAGCGTTGGAGATTAAAGTTTCCTATTTACCTTGCTGTGCGATTCTTTTTCATCATATTATTGAACTTCGAACATTAGAGTTAAACAACGAAAATTCAAAAAAATCTCAATATTTCGTCATCTAACCTTAATGTTCAAAGCTCAATAAAATTGCAAAAAAAAAAAAAAGAAAAAAAAATAGAAAATCGCAAGAAAGTTTCAAGAGTTGTAGAAGAGAAAATTTCAATCTTCAAAACCATTGTTGGATCGAAAGTTGCGAAAAAGAAGTTTTAGCAATATTTCTACAGATGTTTGAGTTTTTACAATTTTTGAGAATTAAAGGATCCTTGATGTTGAAAGACATCTTTGGAAAAAACTTCGGACGACCAAAGTAGAAACTTTACGCTTTAAAACAGCACCAAGTAGATTCTTATATATGACTTTCTTTCACGAAGTTATAGCAGTTCAAAGTGTCGACAATTTTTCATCGTTATGTGAAACGTGTCACGGAGTTCTCTGCAGTTTCTACGGTAATACCGCGATGTTTTGCAATTTTTAAGAAAAAAAATGATCGTGCTGCGATCGTAACCAGCGCAAAGAAATTCAAATATTTTATATTCGTTGAGCGCGTAACTTTTTCAACTGGTACCGAAAAATTGCTCGCGTTTCACGCCTCTTGTATGATAATTTACAAGTTACACACCGGGGGAAAAAAAGGTAACGAGAAAGTGGAATTCAGATTTTTCTCCTCACTTAGTGCACGGTCGGTTGGTCAACACTTGGCTACTGTAAATTACGCAGGTATTTTTATTCAAATGAGTTGACCGCCTCGTCCGCGTAATAATTCATGTCTTACGAAAAAATTTTGTCTTTAAATTTACTTGAACCACGAAAATCCACGAAAATCGTTCGAGGAATTAAAAAAAAAAAAAAAAGAAAAAATACTGCTGATGTGAAATCAAACTCAAAGTAGTCTTAAAAGGTTCTGCGATTTCTTTCGAATCTCAGCGAAATCTCGGTGAAAGTCGGAACCAAGACGAAACGAGGGAGTCGTTGCTCGAGTATATATCGAGTTTCACGATCGAGAGGAATTTCCATGATCGAATTACCACATAAAGATACCTCACCGGCAGGTATGATGTGATAGACGCAGGGCACTTGTTGATGTCCAATTCGATTGGTGGCCCAACAGAGCAACGTGCCATAATCCAATTCGGTCATGGGCGTGTACGAGACGATGGAGGATGTGCCGGACCTGGCGATATGACTGGCGGCAACGTCGATGCTCTCGGCGGAATTGTTGAAGGTCCAGCGGAATTGAACCTCCGGCGGGTTCGCGTCCACTTGGCAAGATATGTTTGCCTTTTCTTGTTTCGCCACGCCGTGGACCTTCGTCTGATTCGGCTTGCAGGTGGGCGCGACTGGAATATCAAGATTTGAAAATCG